TTACTTACACGTATGTCTTAAAGGGTTTACGTATTTTGTCTTCTGGCAGATTGTTTCTGTTCTAATATTGAGATTTTACTTTTACTTTAGTGTATAGTGAGATATATGGGTCTAAGTTTAACCTTCAGCATATGGCTAACCAGTTTTCATAGAAGCATTTATTAAGGAGGCTATTTTCTCCTATGAAGGGATTTGTTGCCTTAGTCAAAGATTGCATAACTTAGTGTGCTTGGAGTTGTTTCTATATGTTTTATTCTGTTTGATTGATCCACAAGTCTGTTTTTTGTTAGTTTCTTTCTTTTGCCAATACCATGCTACTTTTATGACTCTGGTTTTTTAGTGTAATTTGTGGTCTAGGATTGTGGTCTACCCTCCCATACCTTATACTCCAGAATTCCTTTTGCTATTCTAGGTCTCTTCTGATTTCATGTGAATTTGAAGATGGCATTCTCAAGTTCCATAAGAAATATTACTGTTATTTTAATTGGGATTGCATTAAATTTATATATCAGCTTTGGAAGTACTGCCGTTTTGACAATGTTCACTCTGTGTACCCAGGACCAGAGAGTATCTTTCTAGTTTTTGATATCCTTTTTATCTCCGTTTTCAGAAATCTATAATTTTTATTGTAGAAATTTTTTCCTTCCTTGATTAGGTTGAGTCCTGAGTGTTTCATTTTTTGTGATGAGGTTGTGAAAAATATTTTCCCTAATTTCCTTTTCAGTATTATCATTGCAAAGGAATGCTATTGATTTTTCTGTTGTTGACTTTATTTCCTGCTACAGTATTGAATTTGGTTATTAGTTCTTATTAGGAGTCTTTTGGAGGAACTTTTAGGTTCTTCTATGTAGAAGATCATGTCATCTGTAAATAATGATAATTTAATTTCTTTTCCAGTCTATATCCTTTTTAAAAATTATTTCTCTTATCTAATTGATTTAGCTAGTATTTTAAGAACTATGTTAAACACAGGTGGTAATAACAGACATCTTTGTCTTTTCCTTGATTTTAGGAGAAAAGTTTCATTTCTCTCCATTAAGAATGTTGGTCATTGTCACAGACAGCCTTTATCGGATCAAGTCCAAGTCTATCTATTCTTGAGGTTTTTTTTAAATAAAGAATGGGTGCTGAATTTTGTGAAATTATTTTTTGACATTTATTGAGATGCGATGCTAATTGTGCTTGGTTGTGTTTATATAGTGAATAACATTTATTGATTTATGTATATTAAACCATCACTGTATCCCTGGAATATTTCCCACTTGGTCATGATGTATGATCTCTTTGATGATTACCTGCATTTTGTTTGCCAGTATCTCATATCTTATTGAGTTTTTCCTTGCATCTATGTTCCTTAAAGTGATGGGTTTGTAGGTTTCTTTTTTGGTTGGGTTTTTTGTGGTTTGGAATCAGGGTAGTACTTGCTTCCAGAAGTGAATGTCCCTTTTGATTTCACTGAAATTTTAAAGATTGTTGGTGTTAGATCTTCTCTAAATAAATTCCTTGTACAATTCAACAGCAAGTCTATTGGACCTGGGCTTTAATTAGGTTTTTTATTGCTTATAAAATTTTACTGACATTATTTAAATATTTTTACATCTTCTTGGCTCACTATAGTTGTTTGTTTACAGGAATTTATTCATTTCTTCTGAGTTTTCCATTTTATTAGAGTACAGTTTCTCAAAGTGGTGACCAATAATTTGAGTTTCAGCAGAATCCACTGTGATTTTTGCCTTTTTAAAATCTCTACTTGTGTGGATTTAGGTTTTTCCTATGTTTTAGGGTAAGTTTGGCTAAATGCTTTTCTATATTGTTCTTTCTTACAAAGAACCAACTCTTCAGTTTGTTCATTGCTGTATTATTACTTTAGTTTTAATTTCATTAATTTGTGGCCTGATCTTTATAATTTCCTTCCTCCTACTAGCTTTGGTTTTGTTTTGGTTTTGGACTGTTCTTGTATTTCTGGGACCTTAATGTGCATCATTATGTATTTGTATGATCCTGTTCTTTTTTTTTTTTTTAATGTAGGAGTTATTTGCTATAAACTTCCCTCTTAGGACTGCTTTTATTGTGTTCTGAAGGTTCCAGTATGTCATAGTGGCATTATCATTTCATTGTATTAACTGTCTAATTCCTTCTTTAAATTCATCTGGGACCTACTGCTTATTCAAGAGGGTATTATTTAATTTCCATGTATTTGCATAGTTTCTATGGTATCTTTTAAAATTGAATTCTACTCTCAATGAACTATTGTCTGAAAATATGCATGAGGTAATTCTAGTTCTTTTGCATTCACTTAAGCATACTCTATGAGCTAGTATGTGGTCTATTTTGGAGAAGGTCCTATTTGCTTCCAAGAAGAATGTATATGCTATGGCTGTTTGGAAGAACATTCAAAATATCTATTGTCATCTTTTTGAAGGTTTGTTTCAGCTTTGGTATTTCTTTGTTGATTGTCTAGTTGATCTACCCCTCTGTGACATTGTGATATTGACATCCCCATTACAATTATACTATGTTCATTTCATTTTTCATGTTCATTCATTTTAAGAAGTCTGGTGAGCGGTAATTTGGTGCCTATATATGTATAATTGTTAACACTTCTTGGTGACATGTTGCTTTAACCAATATGTAGTGACCTTCATCTCTTCTGATTAGTTGTGGCTTGAAATCCTATATGTCTGAAATTAGTATAGCAACTCCTGCCTTTTTCCATATTTCTTCAGCATGAAATATTATTTTCTATCTTTTGATTTTTAATCTGAGTATCTTTTTGAATTAAATATGTGTCTCATACTGTATATCACTGAGACTTATTTCTTGATCAATTCTGCCAGTCTGTGTCATTTGATTGAGAAACTGAGATCATTCAAATTGAGTTATTACTGTAAATTATTGACTTATTCTTGTCATTGCATTATTTTTCTCTTGCTGCTTTCATCCTTTTTCTTTCCCATTTTGCTTAGATGCTCATCCTCAGAGGTTTTTTTTTTTTTTTTTTTTTTTTTTTTAATATTGTTGGTTTCATTGTCTCTTTCTAGGATATTCTCAGGAATATTTTGTAATGCTGGTTTGGTGCTTACAAATTTCATGAAAGAATCCTTATGAAAATAACATATTTGTCCATTGATTTTAAAAGACAGTTTTGTTGGATGCATAAGCTAAATCATTATTATCATTTCTGGCTTGAAACAGACTACTCCAAGTCTAGCCTTTAAAATTTGTGTAGAGAAGCCTGCCCTGATCCTTATCAAATTATCACTGTTGGTCATTCATTGCATTTCTCTAGCATCTTTTAAAATATTGGCCTTGTGATGAACTTCTGGAATTTTGAATATAGCATGGCACAGAGATGCTCTCTTTTGTTCATAGCTGTTTGGAGTTCTATGTTCCTCAATTATTTTTATGTTTCTCATTTTTTGGAAATTTTTCCACCATTATTTTTGCAAACAAGTTTTTTATGCCATTGGTGTTATCTTGTGATTTTTAACATATTTCAATTACTTTTACATTAGCCTTCCTTGCATTATCTAATTGCTTTTGGATCTATCGTTCATACTGTCTCATTTTTCAGGTGTCGTTGAGTACATGGTCTTTGAAGGCATCCTAGTCTTTCTGATCTGAGAATCTGTCCTCGCATTGGTCAGTTCTACTCCTCACACATCAACATGATTCCTAATCTCTTGGATTTCCGATTGAAATTTTTTCATGGACTCTAATTCTTTGACAAACTCATCATAATTTCTTTGTATTGTTTCCTTTAGGTCATCTGGATTTTTATTTTTTAATTTGTATTTATTTTTAATTTTTTTTGGTACCGGGGATTGAACTCGGGTCTTTGCACTTGCAAGGCAGGCCACCAAACTGCTGAGCTAAATCCCCAGTCCCATCTGGATTTTTATTAGTGTCCTATGAAAGCTTCTACACCTTTTTAGTTATTACTTCCATTACCTTTTTAGTTACATCTTCTCTGATCCTGATATCTCTTTGAGCTTTGCTCTAACCTCCTCTGCGATTATTTCAATTAATTCAGGTGTGTAGCTTATGCTTTTCTGTCCTTCAGTGACCCCTGGATTGGTTTCAGTGTAAATGGAAATTTGGGGAGACTTTTTTTGCTTTTTTATTTCATGTGTCTATGTTTTGTATATGTTTGTTTTGCTTTTTGCTGAGGTTTTTGCACGAATATAGTCTAAAATCTTTGTTATTAATAGAGATCTCTTATTTGCTTTTCACTAATGTACTTTTGTCATGATTAACTATAATATTTTGCCACAGCCCCAAATCTGGCCACTCTGGTGAATTTGAGAGGAGAGAACGCTGAGCATTCAAGTCCTCAGGAAGTAGACTCTGGTACTGTTAATGTCACGAAGGTAATCTACGTGTTGGCTTCCAGAGAGATAGCAACAAATATGTGATCCTGTTAATATCAGACCAGTTACTGTAGTACAAATCAAGATAAATTATATATTATCATATATAATATCAATTATGCTCCGCCCTTAATCCTAGAGAAAACCTCAGCAATTATGATGTAAATAAGAAGGTAACCAGGCCTTGACTTATAGCTACTATGTACTAAAAGCAACAACTATATCTTCACTAATGATAGAAAACAATTCAACAGTAATTTTACAGAGTTAGGTGTGAAAAATTTAAGAAAGATTTATAGTTGTACTATTAAAAATATAGATTTGGGAATGGGGAAATGTACCTTAGTTACTTTTCTCATAGCTGAGACCGAATACACAGTACTCACAAATCAAAGGAGGAAAATTTTATTTTAGCTCAAAGTTTATAAGAGTTTCATTCCATAATTGGCGGGATCCAATGCAGGGTGTAACAGCAGAGGGCCATTTCAGGGAGGAAATAGTCTATGACCAAGCAGGCAGGATAGAGCAAAACAGCAGAAGCAGCCTCCCTTTCTCTCCTATGTCATCCAGGGTACAAACCTATCGGTGTTCTGCCCCCACTCAGGGTGGACCTTCCTGTTGTCCACACACAGCTTTGTTCAATGACAGCATCATAGCCAATGAGGTTAATCTGAGGCACAGTTATTGCTAATTGAAATATTTTCCCCATTATCAGCACACTAAACCAATCAGTGGGCTGGCTAATTTAGTTATCACACATTTAATCCATATTCACACACCCTACATTGTCACCACTGAAAAACTCCACTTATGAATGCCTCTAAAAGTTAAAATAATGAAGAGGAAAAATAGAAAAAAAAGGAGATTAAAAGCAAGGCAATGGGAAAGAAAGGTTACCCAAGCCCCAAGATACTTGTGAAGCACAAAGGAAGGAAAGAAGAGGAAAAAGAAACAAAAACAAACAAATAAATAACAACAAAGCCAACTTTCACACTTTGAAAAAACTGAAACTAAAAGAAGAAGAAAAAAACAATGAAAATATCTCCACATTTATTTGTCATGTAAAATGTGTAGCGTCTTACTGGGTAGTTTTGGAGCAGGGTTTAATTCAAGACATGCCTTTGTTTTTGCTGGTTGAAAAATGAAGGCAGTCAGAGCCCAGACCCATGCTGAATACAGTCACCAGCAAGCAGGCAGCGAGATTAAAGTGGGAGTACTGATTGTGGGACTCTCATTCTCATGGAGATCCAGGCCAAACTTGGCCTCTAGCCATGAGCGTTTAGCTTAAAACAATTCTGGGCCCATCTTGCTGCCCTGACTATTGTCTCCCTGACCACAGATGCATCCCTTGGCTGACCCTCTCAATCCCAATAGGAGTATAAATCTGGGAGTCCTTAAATAAGACAACAAATGGATGCTTAGAGTCCTGGGCTCAGGTCACCCTTTCCTAGTATGGCATAGGGGCACTCCCTTCAGAGGATGTGGCAAATGCTTGTGCTGGAATTACTTACCAATTTTTGCAGGTCACCGAAGGTGGGTCCATTCCACCCCTGTGTTCTCCTTGAAGGCTTTTGCAGATCTCCACTTTCACTGTGGCTATTGTACATTCAGCTCTTTTTTCTTGCAAGCCATAAGCCAGGGCCCAGAGAGAAATTACAGATCGTCCCTTCTTTTTCTGTGTTTTGTTCTTTATATTTCATTAGTCTGCAGTCTGCAACTTTCCCATCAAATACTTCTCGGGTCCCAAGACTCTAATTTCCTCCTTCTTTTTTTCCCCAGATTACTATTTTCCAGTATCTGGATTCTAAATCTCGAAGGAGCTGATGTGTTGTTGTTTGTTGCTCCATCGTCTTTGTGGAAATTTTTTGCATGGATATTTAATTAGATATCCTGTTTAAATACGGTTGGGTAGTTTTTCTTCAGTACTTTACCTTATTCATCAAGTGATTTCAGAAAAACTCTGATGTATCATCATTTTATTTAAAGTACAGTGTATATTCCTTATAGTCCACTTATCCTTTCATTATAAACCTTGTGTCTGTGGTCCTTCAATTCTCTTTTTCTCATTTAAGAAGAAAATGGCTCTTCCAGGTTCTGCCCCAAGTAGGTAACTTCTCCATAGAAGTTCAAAATATAAGGATGGGAAAAAACTAGAAATTCATGTTTTACTCTTAATCGATTTATGTTACCTAGCAATTGCTTTCATTTTTTCTAAAAGGCATTGATGTATAAGGCATGATGTTACATTTGGGATATTTTTATTTATATATAATACTAGATCTTATAAAATTATTTAAAACCTTATGGCAAAATACCCAAAATATTTACCTAGGAAATCCTTATGCCACTTATGAGAGCAGTTTTGAATGGTGGAATTGTTCTTTGGACTGATTTTCTTACTGAATAGTTTTACATTAAAAAGATTTTATGGAGCCGGGGATTTGGCTCAATGATTCCACTGCCTGCCTCAAAAACGCAATGGCCTGAGTTCAATCCCTGGTACCAGGAAAAAAAAAAAAAGCTGAAAATCCTCATAATCAAAAAGATAATTAAATGGTTATTCTTATAAACACCTTGCAAAAATCTATTCCAATTTAGGTCTCAGATTCAGTCTGTACTTTGATATACATTATAGTTTCCAATATTATGTTTTAGTAGCTTTTCTCTAAATCTTTTGATTCAATTAAAAGTAATATCTTGGACCAGGGATTTACCTCAGCAGCACTGTGCCTGCCTTATAAGTGCAAGGTACTGAGTTGGATCCCCACTAACCCCCTCAAAAAAGGAATATCTTATTTAAATCTCATGCTTTTGTTTCAGATGATTTCTTTCTATACATTCCTGACTTTACAGTTACAGTAGAAATGATGATTTCCAAAATATATTGTGATGTTCAATTTTAATTCGATATTCTATATATAAATGAACAAATGTGTATTATAAACTAATTGGAATATCACAACCAGAATATTTGCTAAGAAAAATGTTAAAATATTTTGAAAATAATTGTATTTGATGCAGGTTTGGCAGTGTATCGGAAATGGTTTGCCAGAAAAGCTTTCTGAAGATGTGAATATCCTGCAATAGTTTTTAAAATGAAGCTTGATAATAAAAAAGAGAAAGATTTGTAAAAATAAAAGCCTCAACATCAATTAATTATAAACATATTTGCTGCACTGGCCAGATATCAAAAAATATGGTGAAATCAAATAGAAATTTCAGTGTAAGGGCCGGGGATTTACCTCAGGGGTGTAACCTGCCTCTCAAGCACAAGGACCGGAGTTCAATCCCTGGTACAAAAAAAAAAAAAGAAAAGAAAAGAAATTTCAGTGCCCAGGGAAAACTATAGTCAGTAGAATGTGGATTGAAAATAAGATTACAAAATTAACAAATGTGGAGGCTGAGGCTGAAGGATCACAACCTAAGTCCAGCCTTGACAAATTAATGACTTAGCCAGACTGTTTCCAAATAAAAAAAAAAAAAAAAAAAAAAAAAAAAAAAAAAATGTCTGGAGACGTAGTTCATTGTGAAAGTCCTGGATCCATCAATCATAGTATTCCAAAAAAAATGAATAAATAACACATACTGATATTCAACTGGTTCCCGCATACATGTCACTTCAGATTCAATAAAGTAGTTCTCCTTCCCGGAAGACCTATCCCCTCATAGTCAATGGAAGTCTCTCATCAGTTGTCCCTCTGAACTCTCAGTAGCCAGGTGAGACCCAAATCCAGATTCAGTCCACCAGCTCTTGGCACCCTCTCACCCACCCCCACACACCCTGCACCCTGAGGGAAACATCTGCATACTTTATGCAGCCCTATGGACAGTCACCCTCTCCCTCTCTGGGTAGGATCAGACTGGCCTAGAGCTCTTGGGTCTGCATTTTTCTCCCCTACACCCTCGGTGAGCATTGGCCTCTAACTAATATAATAACAGTAAGATACAATAATAAAAGTCTTGAGTCAGCCCGTTTTTAGGAAAGTCTTTGCACCATACTTAGCCCTATGTTGGCAGGCACTGAGTATATTCGAGTTAATATCACTACCTGCGTCCACCTCGATGAGCTTTTAATGGTGAGCATCCATTTTTCCGACTGCATTGCACTACATTTTAATTTTCTTATCCAATTTGTTTTGAACTACTTCGAAATAACATCTTCATACAGTGCATTTCATTCTAACAAGCTATTTTTGCTATATCACTAAATATTAACCAATGAGATAGTTAAATGAAATATGAATAGCTATACTATTTTATGAAAAAAGTTACTTAAATATTTAAATTAAAGCCTAAATAAATCAATGAAATAAACTTATTTTAATTACAACTTACCAGTTAAATGGAAAATTTTATTCATTTATTCATATATGACCATTGATGACTACTATTATAATTAATAGAAGCTGAGTGTCTGTCCCACCAATCCCAGGTAATATTCTAGGTGTTTAAAGTATGTAAGTGAGAAAAAAATTACAAAATATTTACTCAAAAGAATTTACCCAAAGCCGGGCATGGTGGCACACGCCTGTAATCCCAGCACTAGGGAGGCTGAGGCAGGAGGATCGCTGAGTTCGAGACCTGCCTGGGCTACAGAGTGAGTTCCGGGTCAGTCTCAACTACATAGTGAGATACCGTCTCAAAAAAAAAAAAAAAAAAATTTACCCAAAATGAGATTATTCATGTTGTCACACATTAACACATGAAAATAGAAGTCATATACATTTATTACATTTATCAATAAATTGAGAATTAGTATGTCAGTGCAGATTTGTACATGGCAGCAAAAAAAAATCTGAAACCAACCTTCAGTTATTAAAACAAAAGCTGAAGACTACTTTTGTCACAGCTATATCCTTGGTCCCCCATTTTACTATTTATTTAAGCATTTTAATTGTATTCTTTTCTCTCTCTCTCTCTCTCTCTCTCTCTCTCTCTCTCTCTCTCTCTTTTTTTGTAGTAGAAATTGAACTCAGGGTCTCACACTTGCCAGGCAGGTACTGAACCACTGAGCTACATTCCTGGCCCAAATAAGTATTTATACTGTAATTTTGGTGAATATTTTACTCTAAGACATTGTGAGCAATATAAATTGATTTTAACTAAGATATATACCTAAAATGGCTGTGATATGAGTTTAAATTCTGCTTTATAAAAGTTCATAACTACCATATTAGCAGGTAAATTACCTATCTGAGAATGACTTATTTGACACTAATTATAAAATGAAGTCAAGGATTCAATTTTTATTTTCAAAAAAGTAGAAATTTCAGTTGCTACATTTCGAAATTAATTTTTTTTTGTTTATTCGGATGGATAGATATTACATTTAATTTAACCAGTCTATTAAATGACAAGATTTACTTGCCATAAAACATCAAATACAAAACTCTAGAGATACTGAACATAAATTAAAACATAAATATCAATTGTGCTAGATTCCTGATCTAGTACTACCTCTTCTTAGGCTTGTATCCATAAATAGATCAATAGATCCCTACCACCATGTTGCACTGCCTGGGATTTGTAAAATGGTCCTGTCATTTTAGGATACATGAGACCATCGATTACATTCAATACTCTATGAAATCCTCTTCAGCCTATTACAAGGGAGGCACAGAACACTTGCTTGGTAAAGGTAGTAACTTCTGGAAATGACTATTGTAGGCACAGAGAATAGATCCTCGTGGTAAGTAAATTCACACAGTGCCACAGAATCATCATACTGAGTCCTTTCTAATGATCTTAACAATGGTTCTAATTG